CCCCAGCGCTCCCCTTAAGGCCGAAGTGGCCTTAAGGCGCCTGAGCCCCTGCCGGGCAGCCCGCAGCTGGTGTTAATCCGGACGGGGCTGCGTGGCGGGTGGAGGAGGTCGATGGCGAGCGCGGGCAGCGACGGATGAGGGGAGTGGGAGAGGCCCGCTGTACCTCTGGGAAGTCTCCTGGGTCATATTCACGCACAGTCCTGAAAAAGTGGGCTGCCCTTTTTGGTTTGTTTTTTTCTTTGTTTGTTTGTTTTTGGTTTTTAAAGCTACATTCCTGTGTGGGTTTGGGTTTTTTTGTTTGTTTGTTTTAGTTTTGGGGGGCATTTAAGTGCAAAGCATGTATGTGTCTGGGTCACCTATCAGGAAAATACGTGTGACTTTAATGTACCCGTGCACATTACTCATTTGTAACTTGCAGATCACCTTGGTGCCTGAGAAAACACCTTCCATCCCGACTCCTGGAACGGGCCCGCTGCTGCGACAGGGTGTTGGATTGTAAAGTAACAAAATGTTTATGACATCCACATGTGCAAGCAACTGTGGCCATGTTATTTTTATACCATTTGACTGCACGGCACAAGCTGAGAAACAGAAAAAGTAATTTCCAGTGTGTGTGTGTGTGTGTGTGCACACTTCTCTGCGTGTAGGACAATACAAAATGTTTGATCGAGCTACAAGAAAAATATGTCTGAAAACTTGGAGCTTTATTTAGAATTTAATTTACAGAGAGTACTCAAGTTAGCAGAAATAGTCACTGCAAATTATGTGCAACTGATATACAAAGAGCAAGAGTTGTGCGTGCAAATATATGAATAAGCTGTCCCTCATGGAAGTAATTATGTGCATGCCTTTGCTTGTTCAGACCACTGAAACTAGATGTAGTGTGTATGATGGAGGAATGGAACTACAGTTCAAGTATTATATTGCAAATATCTAATTTTCATGGAAAAATTGTGTGGGTGGCTTCCATTTCAGCTAGGTAGCTTTAAACCTCAAATATGAAAGACTAGGCATCTTAAAAAGCATAAAACGGACAACAGAAATGCCTTAAATCACTTAGCTTCTAAAAATATTTCTAGAGTATTAAAAAACATAAAAAGAGGAAATGTACCAGAGAAGAAACTGGTACAGAGATCTGTATTTTTTTCATTTTACATTCAAGTTCTGTGTTTTCAATCGACATAAAGCTACTGCTTTAGAATTGTGAAAGGTGAGATGGTTATTAAAGAAGTCGAATAATAAAATTGTCTTATCAAGTAGTCCAATTAACATGATATGACAAGCAAATTCAGTAATCTTAAGTATGGAGAGAGAGGGAACCTCTAGAACATATTTTGTTGCATTCCAATACAGAGGTGTGACTTACTGGGTTGAGATTTGTTTTGATATGTTTTGGGTTTTTGAGGTGCTTGTCTCTGTTAATAACTGGTAGCTACAGACTTAATCTGGATGCTTAAATAGAGACTTAAAAATTCAGTAAAGTTAATCTCTTTTTTTTTTTTTTTTTTTTCTTTCTGCATCTGCACACTTAAAATCCCCACTAAGTTTAAAGGAAATGAGTATTTTTGTATGCAGAGTGAACTATCACCACATTTTACACTGACTAGGTGCTGTCCTTTTCCAAAACACATAACCTATCACCTATTTAACCCTATTCCCAGATTGCTGTGCATGAATGAACAAATGATCACTTTTCCTTAGGGATATTCAGAATAATTACTTCCTTGCTGTACGTGTTTTTCCAAAAAGTTCCTATTATACTTCTGTGCTAAAAATACTTAGTTTGCTTGCAAATGGATAGGCAGTTGCAACAAGACAATGTGATCTTTCAGTATGTGATAACAGATAATATGTAAATAGGGGAAAGCACAGATCTTCTGTTTTTACTGACAAAGGTGGTAGGACAGAACAGGAGATAGTTCATTTTGTAAACCACCAGGACTGCAGACGCCTAGAGGAGTTCATCTGACCCACAGAGTAACATCTTTTATTCGCTGAAGTACTTCAGAGGCCTCCTAGAGCATTGAGTATGGCCATGCTTCAAGCCCATACCTTGGGTAGAGGGCATTGTCACTGTATCGTTTTAGAGACCACATTACAGAAACACAGGTTTGCTCTGGATAACAAAGCTCAGATTAAACCTGGTTTAAAATGTAACCTGTCTCTGTGCACATTGCGGAGCCCCTTTACGTGGGCTTGGATGCTATCTAGTCCCATCACCCACATTCTCCATTGACGTGCGGAAAACGGACTCCACAATCTGTAAGATTGTAAAGTAGGTATGTTTATTCAGCGCTGGGCAGCACGGGGGGTAGTCCCACCAAAGTTGTGTGCACGTGTGTGGTAGCTTGCCTTGAAGTTATACTACAAAGTGGTACATATACATAAGATTCCCAAATACACCTATACATATGCATGACTTGTCCCCGCTCCGTATTAAAATTAGCCCCAAGAAGTCGTTTCCATAAACTGCTCCCGACTGCGCTTGCACAGTGTCTCCTGGTGGTGGTCGTGGGGTCATGGGGGATGAAGGCCGATGACTCCTCTTCGTCACCACTAGTAACCCCTTGTTCTTGTGCAGACTCAGTTGCTCCTTGGCTCTTGTCCAAACTACAGGGTTGGTTTTAGCTGGTTCTCAAGGCAACTTCTTGGTTCGTATCAAGAACTTGTAGAATAGACAATAGTGAGCACGGTTTTAAGCAACATCTTCTCTACTAGGATCCCCTTTTCACCATCTCTGGGGAAAATACGGTGGGAAGGGTTTTATCACAGTCTAGCAAGTTGACACTTGGACAATAATTAGGTGATGGGCCAAATCATTCTACTATTTTTTGGTTTTTGACTTCCCAATTATTTCGATAGGGCTCTACTGAAAAATCAGTAGCACAATGGCTCTTTGTAACTTAACCTGTTTGACAGCTGTGAAAGGTGCAACATGATAAAACCAATGTCTAGTAAGTGATATTTGTAATCACCAAAGTTTATGATCTTCAAAATTCGGTTGTTCTTTGCCTATGATGTTAGAACTATGTTCTTTATTTTTCAGGGTTTATATTCGATTTCTGTTTTTCAAGACCTGTATAATTTCTAAAAACTACAGTTTTGAAGGTCTCCATTTCTCTCTATATTATACTAGTAAGATTTTTGTTTCATGTAATGCCCCAAACATTTTAAGTAAAATCTTATTTTCATTTTCATACAGATAGTTTAAACTACTTGCATATTAGTCTCACCTTTGTGGTCTTATAGGCTCCTGATTTGATGCTGAGTGTGTTTCAATGCATCTCCCTGGCAAGGCCTGGATTTTTACAGCACATTTGTTTAGTGTAAAAAGAAAAATCAAATTTAACAATGAAAAAAAAATTGAACGCTTAATTAATTAATTAAATAAATACTTACCAAAGGTGCTGGGCTGTATGGCTTTTTCACGAAAGGTATTTTTAAAAACTGCATTTTATTTAATCAACTAATTTATGTTGGAAGGGATCTCTGGAAGTCATCTAGTCCAAACCCCAAAGCAAGCAGATCCTACTACAGAGTTAATTTTCTATCTATCTCACATGTTTGTACAGTTCTGCATACCTACAAAACATCCATCAAAAATAAGAGAATTACCTGGGACAAATTTAAAATTGCCTGTGTTACGCTAATGCTACATAGAAATTAATACAATTAACTTGCTTTTGAGGTTGTAAATAAATTTCACCTGGAAAGGTGTGAAGTAAATGCAAAATATTGCAGATAAATGCATATTTCCTTTTTTCTTCTTGTTACCGGAAATATTTTATCAGCATTTATCAGGTGAAACCCAGAAGCCTGAGGAAAGATCACTAGGATATCCCACCTGCATTCCAGCTCTTGCTCCAGAAGAGTGCAGGTCTCCCATAGGTCCAGTAGCTGCAAGCCCTGTGCAGATGTTTCAAATACTCCACGCTGTCTGAAGCATTCAGGCATTTGAATGACTTCTCTCGCTCATACTATTTATCTTGCTGATGGCACTGATGACATCACTGTGACCCTAACAAGTTCAGGAGCAGAATTTTGGGAGAATGTGGTTTTTTCCAATAAATAATACGTTTGACCCTACGTTTAAACAGTTCAGACTATTTTAAATTTGAAGCTAGTGATTAACTTGACTGGTTAGACTACTGCCTGGGAAACAAGAGATTTTAATTCTTTAGGTTTTCTAGTATTATGTGTAATATAAATTAATATATGCTACACAGTGGTAAGGGAAGAAGGCAAAATAGTCCCAGCAGACTGCATCATGTGGATGAACCAGCTCATTCAAATCCAGCTTCAGTCTGACTTGACATCTGAGTGCTACCCTGGAGAAAAAAGAACGCTACCACCACACATGTGACAGGCCCGATGGAGAAGTGTTCCAACAGATACGTAAATGCTCAGTCTTACTTTTTTATCAGCACAATTTGGATGTATTGTTCATTTCAACGTAAGCAACTCTTAACTTTGTTCTCTGGCCAGTCTGTGTGCTGGAGTGTTCCTGCAGTTTAGCTTCCAAGTCTGATCGATAGTCAGAAAAGAAATTCTCATCTGCTGCAGCTCTGTTATGGGTATGTAAACAACATTATGTCAAATGATTCTATTACCCTAGTCTCAGAAATTCACACCCTAATGTTTAAGTGCACTTCCACAATGGTTTGTATCTATCCTAACGTATTAAAAAAAAAAAAAACCAAAACAAAGCCCTCAGTTGCTGTCATCACATATGCTTTCCAGAGCATGGTAACTGGAATTTTTGGTCCTCTATAATGTGCAGGCTTGGAATGCCTTCACGTGAAGATATTTTAATAGGGAAGTTATTATCAAAGTGTTGCTGTTAGTCATGTAAGTAAACTTTCTGTATTCAGTACTTGAAATCAAGTTACTAACGTTGGTGTTTTTCATAAAAACGTATTATGCATGTTTAAAACTTTTAATACTGCTTCCTAACAAAATTGACCACGTTAGCCTTTAAGTAGGAACTGTTTCCAAAAGGATAATGTCTGCAGAGCTCTCTATGTGTGGAAGTCAATACTGTTCCTACTGATGTCCGATGGCACTGTGCCTGTTAATTCAGAGAAATCTTTGCCGCTGGGCTGGTTTCATAACCTACAGATACTGAAAAAAGCCCTTAACTTTTAATTTTCAAAGTAATTTTCAGATGTAAACGTCTGGTATTCTGCCTTTAATATGTTGGCAATGCGGCTATGTTTACATGGTGAAAACTGTGCCATGCAGAGGTGCACAAAGGCAGTTGTAAATTAATTACCTTGGGTATTGGAAGGTCTGTATCCACTGCTGGCCCCTAAACACTATCTGTTGAGCCATGAGGGTTCAGGGAATGTGTTCGGAGAGCATAGGCATTCCCAGTAAGAACAACAACAAAAAGTGTAATAACTAACTGTTCAGTTAATGCTATGGAAATATAACATGGCAAATACATGTCCTGTGGTGAATTCATACTGTAATACGAAATACATGGAAGTGATTATATGCAAATACAAAGTAAAAGTAAAGTCTGAAGAAGAGTTTGACTTTATACATGTAAGAACTTGCATGTACATTGATTCAAGGGAAAAGGAGTGCAATGACAGTACCAGAACCCTTAAAACAAAAAGTCTTCATTTATGTAATACTGATCATGCATCTTAATCTAAATATGGGATAAATTATGTTTATTGGCTACCTGGCACTGAAACTGTTTCTTCATTCCTTCTGCCCTGGAAAAAAACCCTGAGTACTACTAAAAAGTAGCTAAATCTACTTAAAGAGTTAGGATCAAATGACATCTGGACACTGCAGCAGTGTATCAAAGCCAATTAATGGATTAATTGAGTTGTCTCTTAAATCTGTGTACGTGGCAAAAGCCACCATTACAATACTGTCCTGCACAGAAAATAGGATCTAGGTCTGGAATAGACTTTCTAGATCAAGTCCACTGTTTTCCTCTGACATTCATATGATCACATTTATAAATTTGTTCTGTTACTGCAAATTAGCAGCAGAATGAAAATAGCATAATTGTGTTTTACAACAGTTTCTGATTCTGTTTCTTCTTTCTTGCCTTCATGCTTGACCAAAAGGGAGCAGATAATACAGAATGATGAAGGGCTGGACACGGTGCTTGAAGAGCACCTTCCTGAACTGCAAGATTCTCACAAACTACATAGCTGTGATTAACTTGAAGTTTTTCTACAGCTGGTAGGCATGATGTTTTCACTGTCATGTAGGAACAGTTTAATAAATTAAGACTAAAGTTTTCTTATGCCCATGCTTTCATTTTTCATATCATCTTACAATGATACATAGAGGCATGGTATGTATACCAGTATGTATTGGCCTTGTTTGGGCCCACGACTAACAAAGGTATGTATTCAAGTTCACAAAACTGTACAGGGGAGAAAAATACGTGAGAGCATGTTTGTAAAAGTGGTGGGGAACTCAAAACAACTAACAGTCATTGTAGAAGAGCACAATTTTAACCCAATGTGAACTCTTTGGAACTGTGAAATGCAGAGGAATTATTCAAACTACATGAATTATAAAGAGCTTCTAGATAACTACTTGGACTTCTAGGTACACCGGTACCTTTGAGAATTGGACTTTTATGCCTGCCAGCCTGAGTTTGTGATTTATTTTTAAAAAGACGTGTACAGTTATAAAATCGCTTATGGGTAGAGCCCACTTCCACTTCTACACAAGTATCTGTGGTTTTAAAATGAAGTGATAGATGCATTCTGTAAAGTGCACCAGCAGACCTTAAAAGCACTTGTCATCTTAGAGAGAGCTGTTCTACCTTCACATACTTCGGTGCTTTAATCTGTAATACAGCTTTCTGCACCTCTAAATATACTTGGTAATTGCTCCAACACCACAGTAAGCTCACTTCTGGCAAGTTCTAGGGGTTTTTTATTAGCAGAGTAGTACTTCATAACTGTACAATTTCTAAGCAGCAGCTGAAGTATTTTCAATCCATTTACTGTATTTATATTTCCCCAGGCTCCCACTAGTTTGATTCCTTCTTAGGCAAATGTTTCCAGTAGCTGTAGGTGTCGGAGCTACCTGATTGTTTGCTTTGAGGAAACAGAAGGTTTGCTGTTAGTTAAAGGTTACTGATACAAGGAAGTTCCCAGTTTTGTGTGTCTGCTTATTGATGAATAGGAATAACTTTCCATTAAAAGGTGTTGGTCTGATGTGATAAAAAAAATTCTAGTCACACACACACACATACGTACATAGCATTGGCTTTTGTTATTGTAGCTCATTCAAGGTGATAAGATTTTCACCTAAAAAATATTACTCAAATATACTGTTTCATTAAAGCCAAACATCTTTAGTAAGTTCTAATGATCCAGGAAACTATGTAACTTCAGAATGGAAAGGAGAATTGTTAAGAGCTGAACTTTTAGATTTAAAAAATACTACTTTGAAACAAAGCTTTTCACATAAATGTTAAAAAAAAAAATTGTTCAACAAGGACATAGCTCAGAATTTTGAAATACTTTTGCAAAATGGAGC